GTACCCCGGCGCACTGATTGAAAACCGCTGCCCTGCGTGGTGGTTGGGGTGGCGGGGCAGGTGGGGGAAGCTTGTAGATTTTGTGATGCTTTTTTTCTTGAATAGCTCCCAATTTTTTTGGGGGGGGGGCACCCAGAATTTACTGCCTGGTTTTCCTCAGATCTTTTAATTCTGTCTTGTTATGCAATATGTAGGAACTTCCTTCTCAAGTGTTAGTCCTTGAGAAAAACTGCCCAGTTATACTGTGCCATGGGCGGCACATCATCTTCAAAAGGACTACGTAAGTGAACCACTTATTCTACCTACTTCCAACCGGTAAAGGACGATTGTGAGATTGGATTCAGGAAAATGGCTGTTCGCTGGGACCGAGCATGGAAGATGTATGAATTTTTAGAGGGTGCCACTACCGATTTCCCTTCTGTAAAGATAGGGAAGGCCACCGATTTAAAAGGGATAGCGTGTGACATCTAAAGTGGCATCTTTTCACATTTTATGAGGCATTTATACCCAGAACCAAGAATATGTGCCTGGCACATAGTAGGAGCTCAACAAATATTTTTGAGTAAAGAATTGGATGATGATGCCCTGACTTGTTTGGCTCAGTGGATACAGCGTCAGCCTGCAGACTGAAGGGCCCCGGGTTTGATTCCGGTCAAGGGCATGTACCTTGGTGGCGGGTACATCCCCAGTAGGGGTTGTGCAGGAGGCAGCTGATCGATGTTTCTCCCTTCCTCTCTGTAAAAAATCAATAAAATACATTAAAAAATATTTTTTAAAAGAAGAGTTGGATGATGGATGAGAGAAAACCCAAGCTCTATTATATGAATACCAAAATGTGAAGGAGAGGATAGATAGGAAAACAAAGAAACCACAGAGATGGAAGTAAAGGTTAGTTTCTATCCCTGTAAGCATAGCTACCAAATTTAAACTTCAGGTGCTTTCTACTGTTAATCAGAAGATATCAAAGGATTTTATACAGCTAAGCCATGACTGACGAGAAAGCTAAGATACTAATGTCAATTTCAGTAAAGTTAAATATGTGTGTTAAAGTGCATTTGGTCAGTGAAATAGTCCATCCGTTTAACGTAGAAGAGTTAGGCACAAAAGGGATACCCTTTTGTAAGATAGAGGCTTGGAGCTACAAATCGTTGGGAAAAGATAGGACATGCGAGTAACAGTGCTGCCAAATTGTAAAAACATGTTGACTGAGGCATAGTTTTAAGAGGACTGTGATTTCTGCCAGGTGCTGATAAGTTTACCAGAGTCTGATTACTAAATTGATCTCATAGCCTAAGAGCAGCGAAATCTGAGGATGCATCTCTGCATAAATGAGTATTCTCTTGACAAGTGTAATCATTGTTTATTATTATATACTTACATTTAATGTATTACAGTTTATATATTAGTACAGTAACATTGCCTCCATATAGAAGGTAACATGCTTGAATTTCAAAAATATACGTGAACTTTCATGGATATATTTATCTCTTGTAGTAAGTTTTCTAGCAGAGTAAAAGGTCTTAGTAAACCAGCATTACAGATTTATTGACATTTGGCCCGAACCTAGTTTCTCCTCTTTATTTACTGTCTCTGATGAGTCTTTTTGTTTTACAAGATCCAAATCAAATGCTGATTTCTTCTCACATCCTTGATCCCACCAAACATGTCTACTTTTTCTGAACACCCAGTATATTTTGTTAGTACTTCTCTTATTGTACTTTTTATGTATTCGCATTCATCCAGTAATGAAATATTTGCTTACTGTATCCAGACATTGTACTAGGAAATGGCTATTAGACGGTATTTGTTGAGGGCTTACTATATCTTAGGCATTGTAAGATTCTTAGTTGGATTATCTCTTTTAATCATCAAAACATCATGCATATTAATTCACCATTTTTCCCATTTACAGATGAGGAAATAAGTTTAAAAGGTTAAGTAATTTACTTAAGAACACAGCTAGTAAATGGTAGAATTAACATACAAGCCTAGGTAGTCTGTATTCACATCACAACTTCCAGTTTGTAGTCTTCATTATAATTTTTTAAAAATATATTTTATTGATTTTTTACAGAGAGGAAGGGAGAGGGATAGAGAGTTAGAAACATCGATGAGAGAGAAACATCGATCAGCTGCCTCCTGCACATCTCCCACTGGGGATGTGCCTGCAACCAAGGTACATGCCCTTGACCGGAATCGAACCCGGGACCCTTCAGTCCGCAGGTCGATGCTCTATCCACTGAGCCAAACTGGTCAGGGCTTCATTATAATTTTTCATGTAACTTTTTTATGTACAATGTTTTATAAGATTATAAATTAATAGCTGGAGTACTATAGTCTTCTGTGATCCCTTATTGCTTCTAATGTAAAATAAGTGATTATAATACAGCTTGGTAGTGGAAGCATGTAGCAAAGACGTTAAAGGTAGGTGAATGAGAACAGTGAAGGCATCTTGAACAGATATTTAAGCCAAGGGCTGAGGATAAGTAGTCATTTTCCAGTCAATAGAGCCGAGACCCTGAGAGTTGGAAGGATGGGCTAAAGAAATGCATTATGATAGTCGTGAGGCAGGGATCATGAACGCTAGAACTGTGCTGTTTAATACAATAGCCAAGAGCCACATAAATCTATGTGTGGTTAGTCCAAATTGCACTGTAAAATACCCCCTGGATTTTGAAAACAATGAAAAGTAAAATATCTGTATTACGTTTTATATTGATTATGTATTTAAATGATAGTATTTTGCTATATTAGGTTATATAAAATAATAACTTTTACTTTGTTTCTTTTTTAAAAATATTTTTTAAATTGATTTTTTTAAAAAAATATATTTTTATTGATTTCAGAGAGGAAGGGAGGGAAGAGAGAAACATCAATGATATAAGAGAGAACCATTGATTGGCTGCCTCTTGCATGCCCCCTGGGGGGGGTGGGATTAAGCCCGCAACCCAGGCATGTGCCCCAACTGGGAATCAAACCCATGACCACCTGGTTCATAGGTCAGTGCTCAACCACTGAACCTTGCCGGCCAGGCTAAATTGATTTTAAAGAGCCAGGAAGGAAGGAAGTATAGAAAGATAGAAACATCAATGAGAGAGAGAAACATCACTGATTGGCTGCCTCCTGCATGCCCCATCCTGGGGATGGAGCCCGCAACCCAGGCATGTGCCCTGAGTGGAAATCAAACAGTGACCTCCTGGTTCATAGGTGGATGCTCAACCAGTGAGCCACACTGGCTGGGCTGGAAGTCTACATTAGAATTGATTTGCTTGCATTGTTTTTTGTTTTTGAATGCTTTGCCCTTTTTATAGGAGTGTGAAATTGACAATGATTTTTTGAGAGGGCATTTTCTGCTCTTGAAATTTTAGTTCTCTCTGACCTCCATTTCAGCAGCAAGTGGCAGTTTATATAATTATGCCACATGAGTAATTGGAAACAGAAGGATAGTGATGGGCATCTTTTTGGTGATTTATTACATACATAGAGTCAGTTAAACAAAGATTACTGGAACCTGAAAAGGAAACATTGTGTAAAAGTTCAGTGAAATTGTAATAAAAAATACCTTCTTATTTGAGTTTAGAAATAAGGAATTTGCATTCACCTTTAAGTCCTAAACAGAAAAGACTCAAAACAATGGTAAAAAATATGTGTGCACTTTTCAATTAACTTTAGTTAGCCTTACTCAGTTGTTATGTTTTGCTTCAGAGGGAGATATTATTTGAATTGCCAATACTAGAGAAATATTTTTTACATTAATAAGAATTTTAAATTGGCCGATATTTAAGTATTTAAGAGAAGAAACCATGGTAGAGTGAAACATACCTGGTTGAAGCTTTGAAGTGTTTTTCTGCCTATAGACAGAACTTTATCAGAACCTTCCACATATATTAGAATCTGCTCTTCTTGAAAATCTACTAAAATAGTTGAATCTCAAAACTTAGCAATGCATTTCTAAGATTTAGGGATCACAAGCTGCTGCTAATAAAGTGGAAGGAGATATAACCCAAGGGAATCAGGATATAATTGTATGTAACTGTCTTTGTGTAGTGAACAAATAATGTAACTTCTGAATTTTAGTTCATAAACAGAAATGCTGGTATTGCACATTCCATGCTGTGGTGGGATTAACTTAGTGGATATTTGGTGTGGGTTTTTTTTCATGTTGGTAGGAAATGCTTATGATCACATGACGATAGAGCTGGAAGGGCCTTAGCATTCTCATCCCAACCTCTTTGTGAGGAAGGAAAAGTCAACTCTGTCACAGTAACCAATGAGTGAATTTGAAGTAAAACCTAAAAATGAGTTTTCATTTGAGAAATAGTAAAATATAAGTAGTTGTCATTTCTGATTAAATTACATTGTCTATAGTTGTTTCTGAATTTTATGGATTTTTTTAGCCAGCCTTTTAGTGTTCCTCAAATTATTCTACAGTCTGAATTTTTTCTTTTTACTATCTCAAAACTAGTGGTCATTTTGACAAATTGGCTCATTCATTCACTAAAAAATTATTCTATGTCTGCCGTGTGCCAGAAACTCTGCGAGACTCAGGGAAGGTGATGGTGAGCAGAACCTTGCCACCCTCATGAAACTTCTAGTGAAATGGGGAGAGACTCTTGGCTGCATGTTAACACAATGTGACATTTAGCGAGGACAAGGAGGGAAGGTGTGTAGTCATAGCTTTTGTTAGAGCGATTTGACTTGCCAGGGAAAGTTTCACTGAGGAACAGATGTCTAGTCCGGGAGCTGCAGCATGAGGAGGAACTAGTAGGCCAAGAAGAGAGCGGTCTGTTTCCTAGGCAGGGCGAACAGTGTGCACACATGCCCTGAACAAGGAAAGAGCTGCGTGAGAAAGGGTGACTAACAGAAGGCCCGTGTAGTTGGACTCGAGAGGGTGGACTGGGGAGAAGGAGCTGGAGAAGTAGGAAGTAGATCAAGAGTGAATATTACCAATTAGGAGTCATTACAGAAGCCCAGGTGAGAAGATGGTACTGGCAAGGCAGAAGTAAACGTAGGCAGTTTTGAGCCATATTAAGAGGGTTTAAAAAAAATGTGTATAGCTGAGTGGGTGGAAGTACATTGCAGAAGTTACAGGTTGGTTGATTCTACTTTTTTTCTCTAGGAATTACCCAGCCTGCCTTTGCTGCTATGGAACAGAAACTGATTTAAACGAAGTACCTTGATTTTTGTACATTGTAGCATTCCTAAAATTCTAATCCTGTCTTCTCTTACATTCAACACTTCATTTAAGTTAGAAATATGAAGCAGTTGAAAAGGAAAAGGAAAAGCAACTTTAGTGTTCAAGAAACTCAGACTCTTTTGAAAGAAATTACAAAAAGGAAAGAAGTCATTTTTTCCAAGCAACTCAACACAACAATTAACGTGATGAAGCGCATGGCTTGGGAGGAGATCGCACAGTGTGTGAATGCCGTGGGAGAAGGAGAACAGAGGACAGGGACCGAAGTGAAAAGGAGGTACCTCGACTGGCGCGCACTCATGAAGAGAAAGAGGATGAAAGCGAACATTAAGCTGGTTGGTTCTGGGTTTCCCCTTCCTTCGTCTGATTTAGATGACTCTCTTACTGAAGAGATAGATGAAAAGATTGGATTCCGAAACGAAGCAAATTTTGATTGGCAGAATGTGGCAGATTTCAGGGATGCAGGTGGATCCTTAACTGAGGTCAAAGTGGAAGAGGAAGAAAGAGATCCCCAGAGTCCTGAGGTAAGTATTAGCCCGTGAGCCCTTCTATTCATTTAATGTCTTCAGCTCTGATGTGTGAGTTCATTATAGTCCAGGAGCAGTTCAGAAGCTCTCAGATTTTCAAGCTAACTTCAAAATAGAATATAAACTCATTCCATTTTCTTTATATCATTAATCTCTTCTCACCTAAATATACTTCTCTCAATTATCTGTTAGTGACATCAGCTAACTCATTGCAAAATTATTCAAAATGCAAAGTAAATGGTTTTATATCCTCAAACAATACAAAAAGATTTTAAGAAATATTTAGACAAATAATCATGAGATAGAAATAATACTGAAAATTGCTTTTTTCTTTTAGTTTGAGATCGAGGAGGAGGAGGAAATACTGTCATCGGTCATACCAGATTCCCGGAGGGAAAATGAACTTCCCGACTTCCCTCACATCGATGAGTTTTTTACTCTAAACTCAACACCATCTAGATCTGCCTATGATGAGCCCCATTTGCTTGTAAACATAGAGAAACAGAAGCTGGAGTTGGAAAAGCGACGGCTGGATATCGAGGCCGAAAGACTGCAGGTCGAAAAGGAGCGCCTGCAGATCGAGAAAGAGCGGCTGCGGCACTTAGACATGGAGCACGAGCGGCTGCAGCTGGCGAAGGAGAGGCTGCAGATCGAGAGAGAGAAGCTCAGGTTACAGATAGTCAACGCCGAGAAACCGTCTTTGGAAAACGAACTCGGTCAAGGAGAAAAGCCCCTACTTCAACCACAGGACATAGAAACAGAGAAGTTAAAACTCGAGAGAGAACGCTTGCAACTGGAAAAAGATAGGCTGCAGTTTCTGAAATTTGAATCGGAGAAGCTGCAGATTGAAAAGGAGCGCTTACAAGTAGAGAAAGAGAGACTCCGGATTCAGAAGGAAGGACACTTGCAGTGATTTCTCTAGGTCTCCACTAGCAAGTGTTTGTAAACCGTAGGTTTTTCTCTGTATCAGGTGATACGAAAATGGTCGCAGGAATAGCTGTTTTTCCCCGTTTAATGTCAGTGTTTCAATAGGAAAAAGATAGTTGTATGTGGGTAACTGTATGCTTAATAGTGTATTACATAAAAATTATGTGCCCTTGCATAGACAGTATAGCAGGAGCTATTGCGCTGTACTCTGTAAAGTAGTGACATTACATAGTGTGTATAATCTGTGCGCTCAGTTTACAGTCATGTCTGCGTAAAATTCTAGCTCAGTGAATCTCAGCTGGGGATGATTTTTGCCCCCAGTGGATGTTTGGCAATTTTTGGTTGTCAGAACTGGGACGTGGGGCGTTGCTGTTGGCATGTCGTGGGTAGAGGCCAGGGATGCCTATGTCTGGCAGTGCGCTCGATAAACCCACCACAAAAAGAATTGTCCAACAGAAATGTCAGTGTTACTGAGGGGAGAAGCCCTATCCCAGTCTGACTGCACCTCTGTGGCTTGTTCTATAGTTTCAGAATATTAAACCTCAGATATTTGTGTGGGTAGTTACTTAAATGGCCAACAAACTTTACTAGTAACTATGAAACATAACTGTGTAGTATATAGCATTTAGAAAGTGATGAAAATTACAGATATTTTATTTCCATGTTTCCATCTATAAATAACTCGATTCAGAAACAATACAGGGAACATCAGTGATTGTCCAAAATGAGTTACTTTGAAAAACAGTTCATTCATCTAACTATTGGTGCTTTAGGAGCAACACACACTTTTTAAGCTTTAGTTCCCTTTTTTCTTTGAATCCATTTCCAATGTAAAATTGTCATTTCAACCATGTACTGAAGTCTTAAAGTAAGTGAATGGTTGAAGCTAGTAAAAATGATACCAATGTAAAAACGGTACCAGTAGTCCATGAGCTTGAACTCAGTGAGTGGCTATTTGATTGTTAAAATAAGTAATAGTTATTTGGGTGTAGGGGTGGGAGAGAATGTCCTCTGAATCATGATGATGATGATGAAATAATGATAATAGTAGCTGTGTGTTTTGAATTAGGGAAGCAGTGTCTGACCTAAACTGTAGAACAGTTCTTGAGGGTAGTACCTAATATTCCTTAATTGAGGCTCAGAGAAGTCACACACTGAATGAAGGGCTGATCTCGTATATTGTAGTGTGTTTTGTCTTTGCTCCTTCCTGAGGAACAAAGTTTATATCTTCAGTCCCTTAGGTCTGGTATTTGTTCTGAGACCAAGGGCTTTTGCTTAACCTGGTGATTTGCTTTCAGCCCCCTGAAGTCCTTTGTCCACAAGCCAGGTGATTCTAATACACACCAAAGTTGAGAATCACTGCACGAGATCACTTTGTATTTTCTGATTTCCAGGGCTGATGTGTAGCTTTAATATATATATCCCTTTTGTTGACAGATATTATCTTGATTCTGCATTTGTTCCTTGTTAATTTAAGAATGTCTTGAAACCATATGTGATATCGGAGTATGGGTACACAAGGAAAAATAGACTTCTGCTTAGTTACCTTGACTTGACATAGTGTTATTTTTCTATAACTGAAATAAATGCTTCTACTCTAGAAATAAAATTTGCCTATACTAACTCTCTGGAAGCTTATCATTTCATGTGAGGCTGTGAGGGTTGAGGTTATCCAGCTTGGAAGAGAGCCTTATCACGGTGAATGGGGGCAGGGGACCTAACATTTGTGTCAGGCACTATGCTTCCTGCTTTTCATACATTATTTTATTTACTCCTCAGAACAACCCTTCAGCTAAGTCATCTTATGCCTCCTTTTATAAGAAACAGTGCCTCATCAGTTATATTAATTAAATATCTGAAAAATGACATTAATCCTGACCCAAGACTTTAGTGTAAGAGCTCTGTGGAGAAGTTGTAGTGAAAGTTTGGAGGTGTAGTTATGTGTTGTAGCTTTGCCACATACCACTTGTGAAAGTCATTCAACTTGTCTGTGATTTGATTTCCTCCTCTATAAAATGGGCTTAATGATACATGCTTTGTCTCTGCTTTATAGTTTTTTTGCCTTCCTCGTTCTACCCAGGTGGTTGGTCAAGTCCTGTCTTGTCTTCTGATGCTTCTGATCAACCTCCTCCAACCTCACCTGTGGCATTTGCAACCTGTTTTGCAGCAGCCTCCTGTCTCAGCTCCTTCCTTCCTAATCCCCCCTGTATGACACTTCCAGAATAGATTTCCCCAAAATACTGCTTTTACCACGTCCTGAGAATAAACGGTATGAAGTGGAAGAGGAGCAGAGCACTGGAAAGATCGGGGTCCAGTCCCAGCTCCACTTTACCTGCCGGGTGATGTGGACAGTAGTTGTCTCTGAGCCTCATTGTTCTAGTCTCTATTACATCAAACATATGCCATGCTCGACCATGTGTGGAATAATAGCATTAGTATATGAAAATGCAGTTTAAAACTCGAGAGCAACTTAGTGATATTGCAAATGTGTTCTACCTAAAATGAGTCTCCCGTTCCCTTCTGTAGAAAGTCCTCAAATGTTCTTTGCCTACTTTAAGATTTTCTCGTACCAACATGACTAAATGTTTGTGAAGCTGCTCTCCAAATATTCCATTAATTTTTCTTTGATCATGTTGCTTTCCTTGACCTTATCCTCGTGCGGCAATCAGAGCAAAGCTTTTTCAGATCCAGGGACGTGACCATTTCTACCATTCTCTGCCATAATTTAAAAATAGGAAAATGAATTTTGCTGAATAGGAATATTTTATCATATAAAATTGGTATTGGTATGTCTTCCAAAGTCTCCACAGGGAACTTGAATAAAAATGTTAAAGTCAACATCAGTCTGCTCAGCTTATGTCTCATTCCCCACTTATCTGAACACTGCTCCTAGGCCAGGGGTGGGCAACCTTTTTGTGAGTGCATGCCGAAACCAGCAAAATCTCTGACTCAAAATTCTTCTGCGTGCCAACCCTAATTTTTTGAGAATATGTTAGGCCTACTTGATATCGCTTAAGGTGTACGTATGTGAAGAACCTTGAAGAAATAATAAAATTCATTCGAGCGACAAAAACAGTAGATGATGGTGAAAAATACATTTATTTTTTAATGTATACATGTACACTGATAGTCCGACAGAAAACTTTATGACTCTGTTTGATATTATCAGTGGGACTTTTGCTGCTGCATCACTGATGACAGAGATTTTACACCAGGTTTATATTTCGTGATCTTCAGAGATATGCACGAGCTACTACTTCATCTGTCAGGCTACTCCTATTATGAGACTTAACAAAATTCATCACTGAGAACAGATTCACAAGCGTATGTGGATGAAACCAAAACACTGGTCAGATCTAGGAAGGCAGGGAGAGTTAAGGCAGAGGCATAGAAATTGCTCTTGCCCTCTCCTGTCAATCCATGTCTATGGTCTTGTTACGTAAAATTATTTAAGATGCACCTACACTGAATTTATCTGAAAAATGAAGTTGATATTAAGAAAAAAATTGTAAACGGAAGATTATAAGAGAAGGTTTCACGTGCCAGCAAAAGTTTCTGGTGTGCCATGTTTGGCACGCATGCCAGAGGTTGCCCACCCCTGTCCTAGACCATGGGTATGGGCCCTGGCCATCTGTGTATCCTGTGACTGTACCATTGGCTGTGCTGTTGGCACTTGACCCAGAAGTGGACTTGGCATGGCCTTGCATTCCCTGAGGTAACTACCATTTGGAGGATTCTCTTTCCCATTTAAACATGATCTGCATTCTGACCCAGATCTAATGTTTCTCTTGATGATTCTACAAATAAAGAGTGACAAGGATTTTAATTCAAATATATTAGCTATGTACTCTGGTGCCCTCCTATGAGACCCAGAATCAGTTGTTGGCTTTAGGTTCTCTGCTTCCTATGCCATTTCTAAATCATTGCTCCTTCATTCCATTATTTATTTATTTATTTATTTTTTAAAAAGGCAAAAAATCCTTGCAGGCATGGAATAGACTGACATACCTCGATGTGGGGTTGAGAGGATTAGAAGAGATAAACCAAAAAACGTGTATACTTATATGCATAGCCCATGGATATGGGCAATAGGGTAGTGAAGACCTGGCGGTGGGGGTAAATAGGCTGGGGGGTGGGGGTGGGAATAGGATAATATATCTGTAATACTATCAATAAAAAATTGGAAAAACAAAAAACACTCTTGCACCTTTGAAGTGAACACCCAAAATCATTGCATTCTTTTCATTACTGTTCTTGGTCACATTCATTGACTCATCTCATTGGTAATCCTAGGAAGTTCCCAGGGAATTTTGGTGTCCAGGTGAAGAGTCCTTAAAAGCTTTGGCCACTTAATTCTGTGTACTCATCACCCCTTTCACCTCTCCCACTTCCATCTCAAACATTGTGTCTCAGTATTCTTGACCAAGCCACCACTATAATGACAAATTCAAACACCAACTCAGGGACTATAATCCCCAAGCTTCCCCACTTGTTGCTAGTGTTTATCATCCTCAGTACTTAAAGTCCAACTCCCCTTACAGTTTGTCTTTTCATAACCCCCCCCCCCCCCCCCCTCCCCCCCCCCCCCCTCCCACCTCAAATTCCATGATCACATTTCGCTCACATACCCATGCAGATTGGCTTTATTTTAAATTCTCAGTCCCTTCTGGGCTCTCAGCACTGCCTGCCAACCTTATTGTGGCTCTTTAGTCTGTCCCCCTCCACTCTCCAAAACCATGTGCTGTGGGTTGAACTCTGTTCTAAAAAGGTATGTTCGAGTTCCAATGGTAGGCACTTGAATGTAATGTTAGTTGGAAATAGTATTTATGGATGTCATCAAGGTCTTACTGGATCAGTGTGGACCCTCAATCCAATGACTAGTGTCTTCATGAGAGGGAGAGATTTAGATATGGGAATGGCACACAGGGGAGAATTTGTGAAGATAGGTGCAGATTGGAGTAATGCAATTGTAATCAAAGGAATGCCCTTGCTAGTGATGACCAGAAGGTAGGAGAGAGGCATGGAACAGATTATCCTTCAGCTTCTAGAAGGAAGTAACCTTGCTGACAACTTGATGTCAGACTTCTGAACTATGAGGTTCCTAAACTCCTAACCAAGTTAACACAAAACTAACCATCACACTTAATCAGAAACTGGGATGGGGCCCCATAATCTATGTTTTAAATAGGTTCTTCAGGTGATTCTCAGGCACACTGTTTTGGAAACTATAGATCTATACTTTTTACCTAGATGCTCAGCAGTTCCAGTGGCTTCAATTACTATTTATATACTGACTCAGGAGAGTTATTTGTATTTTAGGATAATCACTCTGGCAGACATGTAGAAAATGGACTGAAAGGGGGTATGTGAGGCAAGGAGCAGGACCCATTAGACTATTATGACAACAGTGAGGAATTATGAGCCATTGACTTAAATCAGTCATAATATGGATGAAGAGCATGGAACAGAGTAAAGAAATATTTGGGAGATAAAAGAAATTTAAGATGTTGATTCATTGACTGTGAGAATAATGAAGAAAAGGGGTTTTAGAATGATTTTCATGTTTCTAATTTGGGAGATTGGATAAATGGTTGTGCCAGTCACTGAGACATGAAATACAAGAAGAGGTAGAGATGTAGAGTGAAAAATGAGGAATTTGACATGTGGCAATTGAGAAGTAAAAAAAAAACAAAAAAAAAGAGATGACCAGTAGGAAATTGAATACATGGGACTAGATTAGAAGTTAGATTTTTAAATATATTTTATTGATTTTTTACAGAGAGGAAGGGAGAGGGATAGAGAGTTAGAAACATCGATGAGAGAGAAACATCGATTAGCTGCCTCCTGCACACCCCCAACTGGGGATTTGCCTGCAACCAAGGTACATGCCCTTGACCGGAATTGAACCTGAGACCTTTCAGTCCACAGGCCGACACTCTATCCACTGAGCCAAACCAGTCAGGGCAGAAGTTAGATATTTTTGAGTTAATAATGTATATAGGTGATTGCAGACATTTAATAATGGTGAAATCAACCAGGTGAAATAGGTCCTATGAGAATAGAAAGGGGCACAAGGTGATCCTGAGTAATATCAACACGTAAATTTTGGTTGAAGAAAAAGAGGAACATAAAGTAGACTGAGAAGGAAGAAACAGGCTTAGGGGAAAAACTAAAGAATGAAAAGATTAATTGGCTTAGTTCCATATTGAGAATGTTTAGTTCATATGGCTGAAAGATGTTAATGGTGACTTTGGGAAGGACATTTTGGTGAAGTGATGGAACAAAATGGGTTAAATAAGGGATTAAAGGCCACTCTTTTCAGTGATTAGGGTAAGAAAGGAAGGATAGAATTCAGTCATCATCTGGAGTAAGATAACAAAGTAAATAATATGGCCTGCTGCATGTCTACTGGTCTGAGGGACTTAATAAGATAGGGACTAAGATCAATGGGAATCAAGGAACTGCAGGAGTAGGGCTTAAATACAGCATCTGCACTCACCTTGAAGTCGCTGAAGGTGATAAAACTTAGGGTGTAAAGAAAAAATTAGCCAAATGCCACAGTCCTTTACAAATATAAAGCAACTAGACAGAAGTCAGAAAACCAAATGGACAAGTAGGCAGTCCATTTTTACAGCACGGTTACAAAGAGGAGGGTTTTTTTTATTCATGGGGCAAAGATGTAATTGTAAGGAATGCCACTCCTTTCCTTTCTAAATTTATAGTATATGAACTGATATAATCAGGAAGAGTGATGTCATCTGGAGATTGGGCAAGGCTCTGGAGTGGTTGATGATGTTGGAAATGTCCTTACTTTATACTGAAGTCAGTAAGAAGAATGGAGGCAAGATCAGGGACAGAGGGAAGCAGTGGGAAGATCATTGGAGAAAGATAAGAAGTGCAGAAAAATATTGGGAGGAGAATGTGGGATGAGAGAGAAAGATTATTAGGATGATTTCAACGTGAGGTGTGACCAACAATGATATGGATGGAGGCCTAAAGGGTTCAAAGTTTCAAGTGACACTCAAGTCAAAGTGTCAAAAATTCTTGTGCAGGTCCGAGGCCCAAAGATTCAGAAGATCTGGCCTGGTCGGTGGAGACCTTAGATTAATGATGCTGGCAGTCTTTGTTATGCATAGAGTTAAAGACAGAATATTGTTGGGCACTGTGGTTCTGAGGAAGTCTCAGGTGGATGGAATTAATTAATTCCCACATTTTATAAGTTTGACACAGCAACAGTTTTAGGTGGCTGAAGGGAGATTAGGTAAATCTCTAGATGGAGGCAGATATGACCTAAATTGTTGCAAATACCTTCTTTTTTTAAAAAAAAACACATCAAAAACATTCACATTTATGCAAGGAATTAGCTCAAAGAGCTGGCAGAAGTTTCTAAGTAGGTAATGATCACTAACTTCTTTATTTTTTATTTTATTTTTAAAATTCATTTTACAAATATTTATTGAGGACATACTATCAACCAGGCGGGTTCACTAACTTCTTTAGAGGGTCTTTATTCACTCATTCTTTTATTCACAAGGTCAGTCAGTTCACTCAATCGTACATTGAGTCATTGATTGCCAATGACTACAGAACTATTCAACTTCAGAAATAACTTTCTACTGACCCAGTTTTCAGTCATTCCTAAATATTTAGGACTTTCAGGGGTGTTGGTGAAATGTAGGAAATCTGAGGAAGCAATCACAGTAATCTGCTACTTAAACAGACTCTGTGTTTTTTAAATTACAAGATTACAAACTCCTAAATAACCCCTTCACTCAAGCATTGTAATTTAGGCATTATAATTTAACAGAATATTTACTTGATGATCTTATAGTTATTAAATAATGACATGTTTTATGCTTATTTTGTTGTTGGAACACTTTGCAATCAGTACATGTGGCTAAAAGCAGTTATGTATTCTGGATATCCTTTTAACCTATCATCAGCTTCAGATCTAGAAAAAAGTCAAATCAATTTTTTTTTTTTTTTTGCCATGTAAGGACAAGTCCCAATCTAGATTTCTGCGTTTCTGTGAGAAGGAGACATATTATTGAAGTTATTGCTGGCTTAGTGTCAACATAAACATGGGACTTAAAATTTTTGCCTTAATTCCCTGCTTTTATCCAACCACAAATACCAGTTTATGGCATGTAGCAAAATTTAGCCCAGAGGTATGCAGGCCCTGGGAAGAGGGATACATCAAACATTACACACCTAACAATGGAAATCGTACGTTAAACTTCCCTGTTCTTATAAATTCTTTTGGCCACACAAGGGAATCCTATGGCCCTTTCCCCAGCTTTCTGCTTTCTTAATGTTACCTTTCCCCTTAACTTTAAATTTTCCTCATTCCTCTGCCCACTATTCCCCCCAAAGAAAATTAAATCAAAGCAAGATAAACAAATAAGCAGGTTGTTTCTGGTTCATGGAAAATAACTTAGTTCTCTGTTGTTTTTTGAGATACAATTTCCAAATCTCATCTCTTTTCTATAATAATTTATCAAAACTGTTTCTTAAAGAATAGTTTTTTTTTTAAAGACTACTGGTACTAGCTGTTTAGAAAATATATAAACACACCACCTATCACATTTGCATTTGGTTTTACAAATGCTAAGTACTCTAGCCCGCTGGATTATATGAAATGAAAACCTCTTAATGAGTGTGCATGAACACTTTCCATGCAGCATTATATTAATAAGGAAAATGAATCTGCACAATTTTGATTTGTCTTTTCAGAAACGCCCCTGGATGTTACTTTAATTTATTCTTATTCCTATTAGCATTATTCTATTCTCTGGAAAAATTATTAGAACATTTTTTCATTGATACTGGCAATATATAAAGTTGTGTTTATGCATTGACAAATATACCTTGAACAGCTACTATCTGCTATGCTTTAGGGAAATGGAATCAGTTGACAGGTATGGAGACCAAGGAGTAGCCAGAACCAACACCACAGCAAGTGCAAGAACAGTGTGGCTGGCACTTTCAATTAGTAGCTATCGAATTGAATGAGGCAGAATGGTTCTCCTGAAGGCTCTTTATATCTTTCAAATGTGATCATTATATGCTTTTATCTAGCTGATATAGCTTCAAAATTGGCTTTGCCGAGTACATCAGGAAATTCTGCACTAGGTGGTAATCTTGTTTGCTTAGCAATTGAGCTCTTTATGGAACTAAATGTTTTAACTTAAATGTTTTTTTTTTAAATATATTTTTATTGATTTTTTACAGAGAGGAAGGGAGAGAGATAGAGAGTTAGAAACATCGATGAGAGAGAAACATCGATCAGCTGCCTCCTGCACATCTCCTACTGGGGATGTGCCCGCAACCCAGGTACATGCCCTTGACCGGAATCGAACCTGGGACCTTTCAGTCTGCAGGCCGACGCTCCATCCACCGAGCCAAACCGGTTTCGGCAACTTAAATGTTTTTAACTTAAACATAAATGTTTTAAAGTTACATTTCCTAGCTTTGTAACATTTCCTCAGATTGGAGTCCAGATAGATATCTTTTTTTTAGTAAAGTCAAATTTAAATTTTGTTTTCAGCAAAATTGTTTTATAAGAACTATAGAAAATTAAGCATATACTACTATAACTAATATAGAAATAAAACTACAAGAAATGTAATTTCTTGCCCTAGCCAGTTTGGCTCAGTGGACAGAGAGTTGGCCTGGGGACTAAAGGGTCCCGGGTTGGATTCTGGTCAAGGGCACATGCCTGGAGTTCGGGCTCAATACCCAATTAGTGGGCATGCAGGAGGCAGCCGATCAATGATTCTCATCATTGATGTTTCTATTGATGTTTCTATCTCTCTCTCCCTCTCCCTTCCTCTCTGAGATCAATAAAAACATACTTAAAAAAGAAAAAAAGAAATGTAACTTCTTAACTTTACATCACTAACTCACTCAGATTTAAGTGAAAGATATCTTTAGAAGTATGACTAAAAACCAAAGCAAAACCCTGTTTTAGGTTATTTAATTGCCTGTGACAATCTTTCTAGCTAAATTTTTCCACAGTTAGGTACAATTACATGGAATACCTTCTCATTGGATCAGAAAATTCATCTCCTGCCTCCCGTCCTTCCTTCCGTCCTTCCTTCCTTCCTGCCTTCCTTCCTTCCTTCCTTCCTTCCTACCTTCTTTCCTTCCTTCCTTCCTTCCTCTCTGTCTGTCTCTCTCTCTTTTTCTTTCTTCATGACTACTCCTTCCAGGGAAGTAGATAAGGTCATGAAATCAGCTGTCAGCCTTCATTTTGACTCATCATATACTTAGTACACACTCTAGGGACTGTTAATGAGGGAAAGTATCTTTCTGTTTCCACTTAATCAGATTCAATTCAATTCATTCATTCAACAAATATTTTATTAAGCACCTACAATATGCCAGGCACTGTGCTGGGTGCTGGGGATACAACTGTGAACAAGATAGACACAGTCCCTGCCCTCAAGGAGCTTACAGTCTAGTAGTTATACAGACAAGTACACAGGCAATTACAATGCAGTATGGTAAGTGCATTGATGGGGAGAAAACATTAAAAGGGCACCTAACTCAGTCTCGTAGGCAGGGGATGGTGGATGGAAATCTTCCCAGGGCAGGTAAAATTCGAGTACTGAAGGGTGAGTACAAGTTAGTCAGGAAGAGAGGAGATAGGAAAGAGTTACAGACTGAAGAAGTAGTAAATACAGTGTCCCATGTGCTGCCTTTGAGGTTCATTTGCAGCAAGGAGAGGTTGGGTAGGGATGAGAGAAGTCATGAAAAGATACATAAGGACCAGGTCATAAAGGGTCTCATTTGCTCTGCTCAAGAGCTTGGAATTTTTCCTGAGGGAACTGGTGTGTGTGTGTGTGTGTGTTGTTAACAAATTTGAACTTTTACCAATTGCTCTAACTGCAGCACAGAGATTGGAAGGGGGATAGGAATCTTGAGCGCTGAGGCAAGATAATCAATCCTTTATGTTTTCCAACGTTTTTTCCAGGATATCACCCCTGTATTCTCTCCAGGCCATTCAGGTGCATCCAGTCCTTAAGCCATTGCCATGCACAGCTTTGGGGCACTGTTCATCCCTAAGGCTTTTAGCACCTTCTCCACCTATGAAAACTCAACTTATCCCCCAAAACCAGACTTCCAAAATAATCCTAACTTGTGCTTTCTGTCAAGTATTGTGATCTCTAAGTATTGTGATGTTTATCTGTATTATAATACGTATTTATTATTTCAAATGATTCAAACCTTCTTTGGATCCATGTTAATCCATTCACAACATAAGGTGAATTTGTAAATAAACATGGATATAATTTTCTTCACAATTTTCGGTTGAAAACAAGGGCTGAGTCTTCATGTGTAGTCTACCACAAACTATTACCAGTGCCTTCAAATGATTTAAATGGAATAATGAGAATGGGGGAGAAGCCCAAAGAGACATTATTTTATGCAGCAAAATACAGTCAAGTAAAATTTCAACACACAATTACAGGGTTTGTTGCTATTTTGACAATGATTCATTTCCCAATTCAAACACTCCATCTTGGACATTAACCTGCTGATGCGGCAACCACCTGTAAAGGAAGCTAGCTTAGTAAGCAAAAATTAGAAGGGCTAGCTATAGTTTCCAATATGGCCCACACTTTACAGTCTTAAAATTTCTCAAATAACTTGTATAACGATAAGAGAAAAAAAACCTTGTTGATATTGTAAGAATGTCTGTTGTTTTATTCTTTTTGGTGGGTACAAAAACCACAATTTTGTACACAGAACAAGAGTATAAACAATATTGATACCATGAGTGACCCCTAGTCTCTTGGTTCTACATTGCAGACTGATGATTTTAGGTTAACGTCGTCTTCCTTTTGTTCCGGGTATTGAGACAAATGCAATCTGTGGGTACCGATTCGTGTGACGAAGTGAAGGTTACAGCAAACAAGATGACCAACAACTTTTATTTAAAAAAAAAAGTCTCTAGAGTTTATTACAGTGATGGCATTTATATCAATTATTGCAATGTACTGTTCCCTAAGATGGTTAGAAAAAAGAATCGTATTGTCCTCTACTGAATTTACATCATTTAAAAAGCAAGCATGGTTCAGTATTTTTCTCCAAAGTAAATGTAAATACTTCCTTTAATTGTTTTTTTCTCACAGGATTTACATGTGTGTTTATGATGTTTTTTTAAATCACAGTTTAGTGATGTGTTTTCTCAGCTGGACAGTCTTCGGTGGATTAGATGGGTGCTCGGGCGCCGGTTAGCGTGTTGGTTGACTTCTACAACTAGCTCGTCCCTTGCTGCCAAGGCCACGGCCCTTGTGAGCAGGAGCTGCAGAGTTGGTGCGCTAACTCGCAAGTCTGATTAGTTGTTAAGTCCACTGGCGTGAAATCGGTTGCTGTTAATACGCCCGTCCCGGCTCCCCCCACCCACGTCCCGAGAAAACCTAAGGGGTGAGTTTTCCTGATAGAAGATCGGAGTTTGGGTTCCGGAGCTGAGCTCATGCACACGTCGCTGCTGCTGCTGCTGCTGCCGCCGCCGGGGGGCGCTCAGCCGAAGGGTCGGGTCAGCCAGGACCGCGCGGGCCTGTTCCCCGGGCTGCATTCCCGTCGGCCACCAACACAGTTTAATTAAGGCACTCAATTATTTTTTTGGTTTTTATGGTAGGTCCGATGCAATGACAGCCAGTCCCGAACTCTGTCTGATTGCAGTTCCCGCGTGGACGGCCTTCGGGCAGTCGGGCGTCAGGACGCGGCCGTTTTCCCCCACGCTCCCCGTGATGGACAATCGGGCCTTGTTTCTTATGGCTTCAGAGAAGGTCAGCTGGGGGCATGGGAGGGAAACAGAGAGAAGGTGCGGTGTTACACTATGCCTGCTGCTTCCCCAAGTTAGGACACAGCACACACCAAGGTATCAATACTAGACATCTGCATTTTTCCCGTATTCTTTTGGCCATGTGAACACTGGTCATCAGGAGAGAGAGAAGGTCAGCGGTGGGGAGGAATGAGTCCGCTCAGAGTGTGTGGTCCTACCTGTTCCAGATCTCATTCAAAAGCCACCAAAGGAGGTTTTGTGTAGCAGACCTGGGGAGGACACGTCTTTTAACCTGCTGCACCCTCCACCCTAGTCCTTCTTCAAAGCTCCTTTAAGATTTTACGCCATTCTTTGAGTCTTTTTGTCTTTACAGGGATTTGTAAAGTCCTTTGCAAGGATCGTACTCTTAAAATGGTGATGAATCGTCTAAACAAACTATATACATAGAGTGTTCATGACAGGTCTTCCCGTGTTCAGAACACAGACCTAGCCACAGACACCTGCATTCGTTCACACCAGTTACAGACATGACCCAGAACAGCACAGTTAGTGACATAAAGTTCGTGCTGTGCCTCGCGTGGAAGCTAAGGCTCATTAAGAAGCTGTAAGTGCTCAAAGGGGTCACACTGCACAGGGCATCTTTCAGTCCATCCTGATGGTCATCATTGGGGAGCTTCCCAGATGGAGGTTATGGGGTCAGGTCTCTGGAATCCTCTTTAAGTTCTTGTTCTCTGTCACAGTAGGTAGCAGGTAGTAACATTACACAGTGGAGATACAGGTGGGGTTATGTAAATCTACTTACTGTTCATTCATTGCCTTTAAATTCTTTCTAGAGCTGAATTTTGATGTTAGCTCAAGAGGAAAGTAAGCTAAACAAGATATTCCCTAAATTTGTTATGGTTGAGATCATAACTTTCTCATAACATATATTGTATCTCAATTCCATATTGTGAATTTAAGTTAACCTTATTTGTTAGGCAATTTCATCCTGAATTTATTCTGCCATGAAATTTAAATATTTGAATAATTATTGATTAAATAATGAAATTAGTAACTGGAGTAAAACTGTTATGATGAAAAGGTTTGGAGATCAGGCCCTTATAATGTTAGAAAGTTGAAGTCAAATTGCTAGGTAATGACACATTTATTATAAAAATCAGAACATTATCATAGTTCTGCTTTGGTGAACAACTAAAAAATTAATACTTATTTTAATAATCAGAGGTCAGCATACAATCTCTACAGAAACCCTAATCATCATTAAATTAAAACAAACCAAGACCAAAGTCTGATTTTGCTTCTTCAGATTCCCTTTCAACATTTAATATTTAGTAGATAATTATTTTTTAAAAATTAGCAGTTTTGTTTTATTTTAATTTTTTTGAAAAAGAAATACTAATATACAATTAATAAATGCAGTGTGTTTAAAAAATATGTATACATTTTTTATTTCAGAGAGGAAGGGAGAGTGAGAGAGAGATAAAACATCGACGATACGATAGAATCATTGATCGCTGCCTCCTGCACACCCCATACTGGGAATCAAGCCCGTAACTGGGGCATGTGCCCTGACAGGCAATCAAACCGTAAACTCCTGGTTCATAGGTCAGCGCTCAACCACTGAGCCATGCCAGTCGGGCAAGCAGTGTGATTTTTTGAAGGAATTTTTGCAGAAGGCTTTTGCCATAAAATCTATTTTTGTTCTTTCCCTTCTCATTTGCCTTTGGAAAACATCCAAAGCAGGAAAGATTCCACATAGTTGTGAGCACTCCCTCCTTCTCTATAGATTGATTCAACCAAGTGTATTAGTTGTCAATGCCTTAATCGTTGTCAACTCCTTAACTTCTCTTTACATCTCAGCATTCTTAGTTCTCAGCATCCTATATTTATATTTTTCAATTCTTCCATAAAAGGTCATTTCTATTCATCTTGGTGTGAACCTACTGAGGCTGCTCAAACTGAAAAATTTCCTTAAAAATTTCCATATGTTCTGCTCCTGGTTGGTTTGTTGTGACTAATGCTTATGACCTTAATTGTAAGTATTCTCCTGGAGGAATGGTCACTTTTAAAGTTGAACCCTACCATATATTGAAGGTTTTAGGTTGTGTTTTTGAGATTCTGGGACAATATTATCTAAATTATCAAATATTTGCATAATTATGGCCAATAGAGTTTTTGAAAGGAAAAAGCCATTTAATATGGGAGTGTAACAAAAACAACTTACTTTTAAGGCTTCTCTATAAGTGCAGATCATTTCATTTACCCTGAGTTCTATTAAGTCTTTTGAAAAATCATATGGATATGAATGCTTTATTTTTACATGAAATTTATTGTCTTAAAAGTTCAACCCCAGCTCTAAAGGCTATTCATGTGATGACCTGCAATGCCAGGCTCTGACCTAAAAACATTATTACATGTAAATTGTATGTACATAACCTGGGGATTTATATCTCTTTTTAACACCTTCCCAGAACTTTGTAATTAATTGGCACCCATGAGTACTTCTTTCTAGAATTTTCGTTTTGCTTTTTTTGTTAATGCTCACCCGAGGATATTTTCCCATTTATATTTAGAGAGTGTAAAGGAGGGTGAGAGACAAAGAGAGAGAAACATCCATGTGAGAGAGACACATCTATTGGTTGCCTCCCGCATGCACCCCAACCAGGGATGGGGTCCAAGGCTGCAACCGAGATACATGCCCTTGACTGAAATTGAACCTGGAACCCTACAGCCCACAGGCCAATGCTCTATCCCCAGAGCCAAACCAGCTTTGGCTCTAGAATTTTCTAATATTCTTTTTTCTTTGCTTGCTTCTCTGCCTTTGGACCTTGCTGATGGTTGGAATGCTTTTGCTGTGCCAAAGAAAACTCAGTTTTAATAAACTGGTTATAAAATTCATCTCAGAATGAAGTCTAAATAATTGGCTCTGAAAACTTTCAGGTATTCTTTTTCTCAGTTAGAGAAAATTTCTTCTCAATTCTGCAAATATTAAGATGAAAGAATAATAATGGCCCAGACTTTTGATACCATTCTAGCTTGCTGTTTTGCTAGTAGAAAACATGCTGAAAACATTCTGATCTTAGTGAACTGAGGGTTTTGTTCTTAATTCTTTTCCACAAAATTGGGCTTACCCATGTGTAGTTATATCTAGTCATTGATTTCCAGATTGTAGATAAAAGCAATTAGATATTGAGATACAAGTATTTCAATAGCTTTCATATGAATAAATAAATCTTAAAGTCAAGCACATTTACCTGGCATAATCTCAGATGTACACATTTTTTGTTTTGTTTTGTTATCCTCACCTGAGGATATTTTTCCATTGATTTTTTAGAGAGAGTGGAAAGGAGGGGGAGAGCCAGAGAGAGAGAGAGAAACATGGATGTGAGAGACATTGATTGGTTGCCTCCTGCATGCGCTCTGACCAGGGCCAGGGATCCAGTCTGCAACCAAGGTGTGTGCCCTTGACTGGAATGGAACCCAGGACCCTTTAGTCTGTGGCCAATGCTCTATTCACTGAGCTAAACCTGGTAGGGCTCAGATACATCTTACTATAAAAATTATATTATGTTTTTGACATCAAGCATGGGATGTCTCTTATAGGTTTAAAGGCTCATTTATCATTTTAATCAGAATGAGCAGCCTATTCAGTTGGCTATTATATATAATTTTAGAAAGTGAGTTTTAGAGACCTGATTTTAGGAAGAGCAATAACAAGGGCTTTTAGATCTTATTTTAAAACCACTTGCAACCATTAGAGGAAAAACATAGTGGGCATTTAGATTCTTTAAAAATGACCTCCATTTCCTATATTTCATTGAATACCTACAATTTTTTTTATTGTGGCATGATGAGAGCATATGAGTAAGTGGGGCTGAACTGGCTTACTTAAAAGCAATTGAAATAAAAAAATCCATAATAACTCATGGCAATTCTTACCTTTTACTGTGTTCCTCCTAAGAAACATATATATTACTGATCTCTTTAATGGAGAAACTGCTAAATTGCCTAAAATGGCTGCTCACCTTAGTGATATTGTGAACAGAAAAGCTGAATTTCATGTAATAAATGTGAATTGTGCTCAATTTCCTGATGACTCCTGCCTCAAGGTCTGGCTCAAGGACTACTGTCAGATGAGCAAACAGTTAGGTTTTACTCTTTAAAAATACACAATATGGCTAGTGTAAAACAAACTAGAATAGGAGCTAAAATTTGTTGAGCGTTGACTCTCTGCCTCGGAACTGTTACAGATATTTTTTCTCAGAAAACCTTATTTGGCAGCTGTCGAAGCTTTGGTCATTTGAATTAGGTTTTATGCTTATTTTGTTAAACACCTATTTTAAAACTTGTTCCAGAGAAGATTAGCCTAGTCTATGTACAGAGAAACCCCAGATCTAATTTCCAATTTCTCTCAAATTTTGGGTAGAATATACTGTTTGGATCATTTCACAGAGCAATTCTGCTGGTTAGTTTTTGTCTTTCGGACCCTCTCAATGCAGATATCTATTGGCAACATAAAGATTCGAACAGTACATCTGCAGCCAAAGAAAACCAAACCACTTTGCACTGAAGTTTAGAAAATATAAAGCTCTAATGAGAAGCAAGCAATACCACCACGGGACAGACAGTCACAACACTGCATTTACAGGATGCATCACCCACTCACTGTAGTAGGCCCTAAGTCCTACCCCTAAATTTTAATACTTTCGGTTCCATATACGTTGTAACCTTCTCTATAGGTTGCTAAATTCTGGGTATTCTGCGAGGAAGTTGGGTTAAAAGTCTGTGCACTCTTTGCCACCTTCATTCTCTTCGCTTCTGCCCTGGACTTGTAACAGAACTCTATCAAAGCCACCAGCATTGCCAAGCCCAGTCCGCCGACCAGAATGTAGAAGACGCCTGCTACGTTGCTCAGGCTCAAGGCACTCGTCTTGTCCTGTGGGAGGATAAACACACTTCAGTTAAGTGTGGAAATGGCACATCTGGAAGGTAAAAGAACACATGAAATCCAAACAGCTAATTAGCATAAATGCTTACTTTAACCCGACATTATTTACATGTATAAATCATTGATGTAGGTTTACAAATTTAAAAATAAAGCTTATAGCTCTCAGAAGTGAAATTATGATGATTACCAATAAATTGGATATAATTACATTCCATAAAATCTTAAACATTGTATCATTATTAACTATGCAATGAAAACCACTATACTTAATCATAATAAGCATTTATATATTTGCAAAGGGTGGCAGAAGTGGGCTTATTATTAAGTTTGAGAATGACATGTTTAAAATACAGTTACATGAAAAGGGGTTTTGGTTTTCCTGCCATTAAAACATACTTTTAATGTTTGAGATAGCTCTTGAATAAATCCTACTTCACATTTCCTAATTAAGGAACTAAGCTTTTTTTAAGCAATCAGTTTCACAATTTGTTCATCATTACTTTACAAAATATATACAGATAATGTGCTAGGGTACATATTATTTGTTTTTTCAGTCACATCTGTGGGAAATCATATGGAAAGTATAACTTTTACATTCTGCCTATTTATGAATAATTATATATATATGTATACATATCACAGGTGACTTTTTGAAAAGATAACTTTTTAAAAATACACAAATTACTATGGTCAATTGAGAAATAAATTATGTATGGGCAAACTGATATAACTATTTTTATTGATTTAAAAATGATTCCATTTCCACTTAAAAATGCTTCATCAATTACTATTTTAGACATATTATTCTCCAGAGCCTTAGTATACATAATAAATTCAGATATAGTCAAGCATATGCTTGAAAGATATTAAAATTATAACAAGAATTCAGAACTTTTTTATAAATTGTAAATATGCACATTACACATAACATTAATTGAAACGTATTTTGGGTAGACTATCTGAAGGACACCCTCTGGCCATCATCTTCTCGGCAGTATGTTTTGTGCAAAATGTGATTTAGACGCAAATCATTTTATTAAGGAGATGGTTTAATTCCGAAGATGTACTATGTACACTGTCTACTTAGCCATGATATCAACTGATTGAACCAAAAGTTTAGGGTAACTCCATTTAAAAAAAATCACTCAAGCATTTATGCTTGACATAGCTATTCCATTATTGGCCAAGTTTATCTCATTCCACTCTGGTTTAAAGGCAGACAAAAGTGATTAAAACCTAGGGATAAGCCCTAGAAAGGGATCAATTAACATTACTTTGTCTCTTTGTTAAATTAATTGATGCTCTCCTTTCTAAGCTGGTCACTTGTTTAGACTTAGAATTCTCTATCATCTATCTATCTTCTATCTATCATGTATCTATCATCTATTTTTTTCTTTCTAAAAGGAGATATAGGAAAATAATAAAAGAAGATTCTAAGAATCCTCAACTGTGGCTTTCAGGCACTGTTACTACATTCTGTTAGATTCTATTAGATTCACTGGTAGGTTGTTACATTTTTCCCCCTTTGGAATTAAAATACAAATGTTTCTATTTTCAACAGAATCAGGATGATAGGATCCTGCAATATTTTAAAAGGAATTTATGAACAAAAGATCTTAGAACTTGAAGCTATCATCCATAAACATTGATTTATTTAAACCATTTTGATGGAATAGAATTGAAAGATTCACTCTGTTGATCTGTCAGCACAAAAATAGAAAAGGGCCTCTTCAAACTAAAGTGGAATGGTTGGCATTATAGTCACAAAAGACTGAACTTCTGAATAAGATATAATATTTAAAATCTTTTTCTGAACGACTACTAATCAATTTGCCATTTTTGTTTGTTTGTTTTGGGAAAACATCTCTTCTTGAAATAATATATTTCATGGTCTTTGCCTCCAAGACAATAAAAAAACCTTAACCTCAAAAGCACTACTTTTATTAGTGGTACGTAAGTTGAGAATAATCTAAGGAGTTTTTTAATATCTTATGTATTTTTGTAGTTAATTTAAATTTACTTAAAAGCCTTAGTTTTGGGGAGCAGGTTGCAATTTTCTAGAAAGACTGTCCCTGTGGCTGAAATTTGACATTAACTTCGAATTTAGGCAGCATAGAGAGAAATGTTTAGTTTTTACTGTGTCCATATTTTTTTTAATTTTTAGACAATTGCTCCCGTTTACTGCTTTGTGAACACAAGAGGAGGCCCCGAACTGCAGCGACTGACCTTGCTTCCAGAGTCCTTGGGTCCACATTCACCTTTATCGTACCACCATTTGTTTTTCAGCTTGTCTAAGACGCCTGCCTCACTGAGTTTCAAAACGGCAAGGTTTACAGGAGTTCTTCACGTGGAAAATAACATAAATAACATTATATATGTTATTTTATGTTATTCAAGTAAAACTACATTAGAATCGCATGGCAAAGTGACAGAGCAGAGGCCACAGTAGGCGCTATGTCTTGTACCGTAGGCCCAGGTTTAGAATCAGACATAAAACTGGGGCCTGCTCCATCGCTTTAGGTAACAGGCACATACTGCTAGGGAGGATTTTTAAATAACATGTATGCAATTACTGTGAATCCAAAACTATTGGCCTGGGTTGGGTTTCTTAAGCATTTCTAATTTCCCCGCACGGATATGGGAGTCCTTCAAAATTCAGAGCTCCTTTTTGTCTCCAGAATTAATGGAAGCGGCTGCAGGTGATAGGTAAGGCAGACTTAAATAGAAGCTAGCTAGGCCTGGTTTCATCTCTCACGTGCCTATGATCAGCTAGAGGGATTTTAGTTTATGCTGTAGAAGGATGTCTACAGTGTCCATCATTACACGGAGTCCTCCATCTCTCATCCAGGACCGAACTGAAAGAGGTGGGCGATTCAGTTGTTACTAGGGCCACCTCATGCAGGTTCTGATAAACACAGACATGTGAATCATTATTGTGAAGTACAAGCCCACGCTGATGTTTTCCTTCTGAACTTTAGTATTTATCTCACACAGTATCACCAGAAGCAATTTTCGTCCATGTTGTGTCTGCCCCATTAATTTACTTTAAGTAGAAAGGGAAGTGACTATAGTGTACTTTACTAATTCTTACCAATAAATCCCTGATCGGTTGGGGGTAAACAAGATTTTGCTCAATAAACAAACTCCCTGTACTGTAAAATCCCACTTTTCTTTTCTACTATCTCGGAGTCCTTCAATACTAAATGTTTTAAAAGGAGCCTCAAGGTCAGTCGTCAGTCATCACCAATGTTCCAAGGAAGCTAAGAATTCTTGTTTTCATTCCCATGTTAACCTCTGTGTATACAAAATAAAGGGTAAAAATGATGGGAAGCAGTAACTCCTAGCATCTTTTGTTATTGTTCGTGTGTGTGTGTGTGTGTTTTCATTTTATAAACATTCAGAGAGAGACTTGTACTCTTCTTGACATTTCTAAGGCTGCCACAACCATGTTGTCTGGCCGTATCTAGTGCCTCTCTCTAAGGAAATGTTGAGTGCATTCAGAGAAACACAGCCTGCATTTCTCTGGTTATCAGGAGATGAATTCCAGAAACCTATCTACAAAACTAGGTAATTTATTTCTAATGATAATGATAGCTAAACATTTGCAGAGTACTTACTATGTACCAGGCATTGTTAAAAGCATTTTCCATACTTGATTACTATTATTATCTGCATTTTACAAGTGAGGAACAAAGGCACAGAGAGGTTAGCTCATCTGTTCACACAACTAGGAAGCAGCGGAGTCGGATTTGTAATAGTCTGACTTCTTAGCTGTGCAATTAAAAGCATTAACAATGGGAGACTCAGAAAATGGGGTTTCTGGTTAATTGAGGATTCTGGTTCACAGTTACACTAAAACCCATTTGTTTTGTCCTGTTGGTTCTCAAAGAATGTTTCTAAAATATGTCTTTCGTTTTGTTTATCTGATTTCTGAATACAATTTAATTTTTGTATGAATGTTATAAGATCTTACAAGGTTCATTGCTCCATTTAAGAAGTAATATGCATTTGCCACCTTCCTAGAATATTGTTTTTTGGATTAAAACCTAACATAAGCATGATTTAACACTTTCTACTAAAAGCTGAATTTGGGGTGAGGAGGGATGAGGTGGGGTGAGGGTTAGGTTACCTGGGTTGCTTGGTTAATTTAGCCCCAACCTAGGGGCTACCTATACAATCTCCCACTCCCCTCCACACTTTCCCCTCACTTCTCTTGATGAAGCGACTATTACAAAACCACATGTCAGGTTGGTTGGTGAATTGTGAACTCCTTGAAAACAAAAGCCACGTTTCATTGATCTGTGTAAAACAGTATTTAGCAGGATATCCACTGAGAGTAAGTGCTCTATAATGTGGCTACATTCAAATTATTTTGAATCGAAACAAGCTTTTTCCTTTAATTTGAGATTCCCAGGCCAGCTTGCCAAAGCCTTTTGAAACCTGTGTAGGTACATTATATTACCCCATATTACACTTCTTAAATAGGGTACAACGGGAGGAGGAGGACAATGCTGAAAAGAGAAAGAAAATGAACAGTTTCCAAATTTCTTCTAAAAGGGAAAGTTGAAGGCAAAATTGAGGATAAGATAAAGACTGCCTTAGGCCATCTCTCTCCTGTCTTAAAGTCTTAATTTTTCCTACCCCCTTCATTTTTCCCTTGCCTCTTTGTCCCTTCTGCTATTCACTCCAGTAGTCTGGTTTTAGAGGTAAGATTGGGATTTTGAATATAAGATACTTACTATTAATCAAACTTAACGGTCAACTGGTGGAATGTAAGGCATTTAGCAAGTAATTCATAACTGGGATATCCCTTCTCCAAGGGTTAGCTTCCCTTTGTGGTTTTTTTTCTTTTACCACAACCTTTTCCCGTCTACTTATGAATTCATATTTTCCATAATAATCCCTTTATTCTTGCATTGGTTTCCATGGCCGTGGTGAAGGGAATTAGGCCATTTATGAGTATAAACTATTTTAAAGTCAGGAATGGGCTGTATTTTTCAAAGGGCTAAATTAAAAACTGGGTATAATGTGATCTAACTTAATTCCTGAAGGACACAATATTTGTTGTTTACAAAATGATTTTTAAATGAACATCCTCATCCATGAGTGTGCCTATTTTGATATACATAGAAGGAAAGGAAAGTATAAAACAGAAAAAAACCAATAGTTTTAGTGGATGATTATAGGCATTTCCCAAAATTTCCATCTAGAACCAGGATTAAATAACCACTAAGAATTGGCATAAATTTCTGCATACGGTTTGTGCTCAGGCTAAACCACACCAGATTAATCAGAGGGGGAAATGAGTTTTAGAGATTGCAATGATATTCTTGAATTGGTCCCCTGCTGGTTTATTCCCAAGATGTGTGTGCCTGCTCAGAACTTCATGCTCTCGGAATGTCGAGCAGCAAAACGGTGACGCTAATTATTTTGCAGCCAAAGGATGTGACTGGAAGTGGCCACAGTGACTAATGGTTCAGTTGTTGGTTATATTAAGTCATAAGTTCCTTGAAGGAAAAAATAGTGGGTAATTCTCTTTCCCCCCACAGATACTGGTTCCATGACCCAGTTAAATCAGAGGTTTCATAATTTTCTGCTGTGTAGAAGGCTGGACATATTCTCCCTGATTGCAATCCTCAACTGTCTCTTCCTGGGAACGTATTCGTGTGGGGGACAGCTTCTCATGGGTCCCCCTTAGTTTTCTCCTACCGAGATTCGGTATTGGGAAGGTAACACCGAT